GATTCAGTTATGCTTATGTAGTATTTAGTGTTTGTTGCATGAACAAATGAGGCATAAATTAACAACTGAACCAGGGCGGTGGGGGGAGGGGGTGCTGCTGGCAGCGGACTCCTCCCTGATAGTGGTCACATGGTCATAACCTGCTCCAGGACTGTCACCTGACACTTTGGTTAGGTAGCGTGGCAAAGCTGTGACCTGACCTCAGGCAATCCTGCAGTTGCTAGGGGTCTGTGGCACCTGTTGTCTTTCTGGAAAGGTCCAGAGAAGTAAAAGTAATAGGCTCACTCTTTCCTGGCATGTGGGGTTGAGGGGGAGGGGAGGGGAGCTCTTAAAGCAAAGATTCTCAAAGTGTGGTCCCGGGCCAGCGACATGATGGCCACCTGCAAACTTGTTGGAAGTACAAATTCTTGGGCCTACTCAGACCTACAGCAATAACGGGACAGGGGGCAGCAGTCTGTGTTTAACAAGCGTCCAGGAGGCTCTGATGCACGCTGAAGTGTGGGAACCACTGGTTTCAACTGAGGTTGGAGGGCAGCCCTCCTGCATTTGAAGCCTTGGGCTACCTGTTAAAAGTCACTCCCTGGGCCAACCTCAGACTTATGAGATCTCTGAGACCCCCTCAAGAGTTCACATTTTAATAAATATCCCTGGGGATTCCATGGTCGTTAAAGTTTGCAGAAGACTCTAGCTAAAAGGCTGAGGGGGTCAGGGCTTGGAAGGGTGGGCATTCTTGGAGTGAGAGACTTGGGAAAATCAGAGTTGTTCTGACTACAGGAAACCACGAAGAAAAATCTTGGATGGATCAGGCAGCCAAGTGGAATGAATGGGGTCAGTTTTGATTACCCAGTGGGAGGATTTATGGGTGCCTTATAACCTCAGTTGTATCGTCGCGAGCTCCCAGTGTTTTCTGGCTGGACACTGGCGCCTCTCCTGACCTTTCCCCAGCCCTTCGGAAGCTGTCGCTCAGTTCTCATCCTCCCGCCAGCTGCCAAGGCCCCTCCTGGGACGGCTGTTCCCTTACTGTGACCGCAGAGTGGGGAGGGGACCCTGTTCTCCCTGGTGTGGGGCAGGTCCTGCCCTGAGGCCCCTCCGCAAAGCAGAGACCAGGCTGAGATCGTCCACAGGGCTCTAGAAGGTCCAGGGACACGTGGAAGGGATGCAGACACTGAGAATGCGACGCTTACATGCCCACCCTCCCGGCACCTCTTATTGGGCAGGCCTCCAGCTTTCTTCCAAACTTGCCTCCAAGGGCATCATAAATGTCCCTGAAACTTCGTGCATCAGGGCCACGGCGGAAGTCTGGCTGCTGGGAAGGACCTTTCCTTCACCGCAGCCTCCTCGCTGCCCCAGGCTGGCTGCTCCCCAGCACGACGAGCTGCGGGTACGTTAATCCTTTCAAGGGACAGTACACGTCCACCTTTGATCAGCTCAGGTCTTCCAGAAAGCAGCTGCCAGCAGCGGAGGAGATGCGCTGGAGGCCCGGAGGGGAGGGACTAAGCGGAGGTGGGCGGGGCCTGCAGTCCGTGGGCAGGGCCGCCGCCTGCGAAGGACTGGGAGGAAGGGTGGGTGGGAGGAGCCTCTGCTGCAGTTTTTAGAGGGTCTTCTGTGTTGACCTCAAGCAAAGTGTGCCTGTCGGAAGAGGCCTGTGCTAAGCCATTGGCTGGAAGCATCCTGGGGAGGCGGGAGGGATGTGGGCTCAGCAGAGGTCCCCCAGGGTCCGAAGGTGCTGGAGGCTGTCAGCCAGCCGTGCTCCCTGCAGTCCCTCTTGACGGGGAGCTGAATGACTCACTCCACCCCAGCCACAGTCCACCCTTGTGCTGGACCGATTTACTACTGCAAGCAGGTTTGGGAAGATGGTTCCCTGGGCCTTTCTTCATAAGGGGAAGTTTAGGAGA